GGGGGGGATGGGAAACACTTTACACCACCTAAACAGTTCTTAAAACTTGTTTCAGGTGTTAATGTGTGGACAATCCGAGGGCTAAGGGTTCCAGGAGTCACCTAAAATTAACATAATGAGGCCTTTATACTTTGACACTAGAACAAAAAAAAAAGTAAGGGTATAGGACCGGTTAAACACTGTACATATAATACTGTTTTATTCAGCGATACAGATCTAACTTGTTATGGCAGCTCAAGTGTTGCACAATTCAGTACTGAAAATGCCTTACAAGTCTTTGTCACTTACCTGAAGTCATCCCACTCAAGGGATGGACCAAAATCAATTTTCCATCAAAATGATTCACTAGTAAAGGAGAAACAGAAATCTGTATTGCATGTGTCTGAGGGTCCCTTAGGGTCCCCTTATAAGGCTTTGTTATACCTGGTTTCTGTTCTGTAGTGAGTAATGGCATTTGGTTATTTGTACACCTGAAGTTTCTAATGACAGAGATGGGATTTGCAAATAATTTAGCACTTCTGAGCATAAGGCCACAGGATTTTTTGTTGCTCAATAATTCCACATGTTGTGTTCATATGCTCTGTAATGGCCCAGATTGCTTCATAACAATGAACAGGGAAAACTTCTACTTAATGTATAAATCAGTGGGATTATTTGAATGCTTCAAGTTAAGAATAGGCTTAAGTTTATTGTTGAATTAAGGCCTTACTGTTTCTAAAATTTAGGGTCAGTTTTTTGTTTTTAAACATCTTGGATAACACTTGTCAGAGGCATAATCTGCTTCTAGTTACAGCAATGGAAGTATTTTAACTATTAATGATGTGACAACATAGAATTTGGACCTCATTTCTGTGTTCTAGTTGGTCATTAATAGAACAGTGAATTTTGTTTGGCTGAACTAAATCTGTTTCTCCTGTGTTGCAGATAGGCACTCTGCTAGAAGTTCTTGATGATCTGTCACCGTCTGGACCAGTAAAAAGTGTTTATCCATTGACGTTTGTTCAACTAAAACAAGTAAGACCTTTTCTTGTTACTGTTAATCATTTTGGCAAATATGTCCTTGGTGTAACTCCATCTAAAGTAAAGGGTTTACACCAAAGGTTGCCCTTGGTCCATTATATCTTGCAGCAACTGACATCAGACAGTCATTCAGGGACACATTGGAGGATCTTATGAGCAATATATCTTACTGTAACTCCTGCTGCTGTGGTTCTTGGACTTACTGGTGTGGAGTCCCCTCCTTGTTTGTCACATCTGCTTTTTGGGTAACTGAATTTTTGGTATCTTCACTGCCTTTTATCAGGGGTTCTCTTGTTCCCTCCCTTTCTCTCTTTGTGCATGCTTGTCATCTTTGCTTCCCATTTTTTTTTCTTCCCTACTGCCTGCCTGCATTTCTCATATTCTTTCTCCTTGAAGTTTTCAGTCTTTGTGGTGCAGGTACTTCTTAAAATATTGTGGCAGACTGGGGTTCCCTGAAATGTGCTGTGTCATTCTGCATGTGCCACCTGAACTGTAAGTGGGGTTGCTGCATTCTTAGGATACTAAGGCTGGGCTAATTAGCAATGACTCTGTGCTGCTAATCAGCCTGTTAGCAACACCCCATGAACATGGTCAAGGAAATGTTGTGCGTTGTGCAGCATGGTGAGTCTGAGTGTGCTGTTGCCTGGCACATAAGTGTGTAGTGCAGGCATCTCTTCCAGAGTTTTCCCTCTTCTTCCTTTATCCTGTGTATCTTTTGCCTGCTGTGTATGATGGAAACATCTGCCAAGGTCAGCTTTTTTATGTAGAGAAGGAGTAGGGTGGGCCCATGCTTGCCTGACATTTCTGTGGGTATCCTAGTTATTTTTAAATATTTTTCTCAGAATGTGAATAAAGGAAGATAAACCTCTGAGAGCAGTCACCACAGTTTACCCGGCCTGCCCCCAGGAGGACTTTTGCCCACCTACTTATTGGAAAAATATGACTTGAAAAGCACATGGTTCCTATTTTCTCTTTGTGGTGTGGCTTCCTCTTGCTCCCCCCACATCTCTTTATAGAATCAAAGAGAAGTAGGGCTGGAAGGAACCTTTAGAGGTCATCTAGCCCAACCCCCTACCAGAGGCAGAATCATCCACAAAAAAAAAAATTGGCCAACTGTGGTCTCGGTTATATCACAGTCCAATGGCTGGAGAATTGACTCCAAGGCTGGACTTAGAGAATGGTGGTCGATGGAAGTGAAACTTCATCGCGCTCTGTGACTAGTGGTGTCCCCCAAGGCTCTGTCCTTGGACCTATTCCCTTCAACGTCTTTATCAGTGACATGGATATAGGTGTCAGAAGTGGACTGGTCAAGTTTGCCAATGACACCAAACTTTGGGGTAGAGCGTCCACACCGGAGGATAAGCTGGTGATACAAGCTGACTTGGATAGGCTGAAAAAGTGGGTGGATACAAACCTGATGACCTTCAATACTCACAAATGTAAGGTACTCCACCTTGGGGGGAAAAAACCCCGCAGCATGCTTATAGGCTTGGCAGTGCTATGCTTGCTAGCACCAAGGCCGAAAGGGATTCAGGGGTCATGATTGACCACAAGATGACCATGAGCCACCAATGCGATGTCGCAGCTGTTAAAGCAAACCAAACTGGCTTGCATCCATAGATGCTTCTCAAGTAAAACTCATGATGTTCTCCTACCGCTGTACTTGGCCTTGGTGAGGCCACCACTGGAGTACTGCATCCAATTCTGGGCTCCACAATTCAGGAGGGATATGGAAAAACTTGGGAAAGTCTAGAGGAGAGTCATGTGCGTGATCAGAGGGCAGGAGAACAGGCCTTATAAAAAGAAGCTGAGAGTCATAGGGCTCTCCAGCCTAGAAAAGCACAGGCTCAGGGGAGACCTGGTAGCAGCTTATAAGTACATCAGAGGTGTGCATCAGGATCTGGGGGAATGTCTGTTCACCAGAGCGCCCTAAGGGATGACAAGAACCAATGGTCACAAACTCCTCCAAGGCCATTTTAGGCTGGACATAAGGAAAAACTTATTTACTGTCTGAGCCCCCAAGGCCTGGAATAGGCTCCCTCCAGAGGTGGTGCAAGCATCTACTCTGGACTCCTTTTAGAAGCGTTTGGATGCTTATCTTGCTGGGATCCTTTGACTCCAGCTTACTTCCTGCCCTTGCGTCAGGGGGCTGGACTTGATGATCTTCCAAGGTCCCTTCCAGCCCTAATGTGGATGAAATCCCTATCCAAACCACCCTATACAGATCCATTGTCTTATTTCCTAGAAACACTACACTGTCAACCTAGACACAGATACCTTAATCCAGGGGTCAACCCCCCGCATGCGTGCCAGAGCATGGTAGGCAAGGCCATTTTGCTTGGCACACCTCAACTGGCACAGGCTGTGGGTAGCTGCTGCTGGTGGTCATGGGTGGCAAGGAGGTGGTCATGGGTGGCAAGGAGGCTGCAAGCCCTGCTGTGAGCAACCCAGGCTCTGTGGCTGGCAGCAGCTGCCCAGAGTCTGGGCTGGATGTGGGAGGCAGCCAGGAGGCTGCATCCAGCCTCCAGTGGCTGTGTGAGCACCTTGGGGTGCATAGCGGGAAAAAGTCCTGGGGTGTTGTGCTGCCCTGGGCTCTTCCCCTGCCATGCGCCCAGAGGCGCGCATGCAGCTGCCAACACCACCATGGAACCCGGGTTGCTTGCGGCAGGCAGGCTGCAGACAGCTGCACTGGGGTATGGAGCCCCAACCCAGCTCTGTGGCTAGTGGTGGCCATATGCAGAGCGGTCCTGGGGGGTGTGGGGTGAGAATCGGGGTGACTGCCCTGGGCCCTGTGCTTTGGGGAGCCCCACAGAGCTGGGTGGAGCGGCCACAGCAACTCCATGCTGCCACCGCCAGCTTTGCATCCAGCTGTTTGCCCCAATTCCCCACCCCAGCAACAGCTGCAACTTCTTCTGGTCTGGAGCGTGTGGGAGGGGTGAGGCCCAGCATGTGCTGATTTGCCCCAGTCCCTTGTCCATTGTGCTGCATGAGGCGTGCTTGCAGCCATTGATGGCAACTAGCTATGCCAGGGCTCTGGGTGGTATAGCTGCTTGCAGCCTTGCGGCTGCCTGTTACAACCAGCCTGGACTCTGG